TTAAGTAAATCAATATGAGTCTGTGATTCTTATGGGCCTCCGGATGACACTTATTGAAGGCAAACGCCAACAACTCTTCGGCCTTCTTGTAGTCGGAGTCGAAGAGTGACTTCATTCCCGTGAAGTAGTTATAGGTCACTGTTTGGGCTAAACTGAACTCATTCTTCATGTTGGCGTTCTCGAGAGCGCGAGTCAACGGCTTATATAAATGCAATTTATTGATCTTGAAGTAGATTTTGAACAATTGGTTTATCAGATTAATCATTCCCTTCCGCTTCGACACTTCGGCCGCCGCTCTGTTATCGTTGGCGCAGACCCTGAAGCAGGCCATCAGCTGAGAGGCGCACTCTTCCAGACACTCGTCCGGCTTCACGTGCGCTGACGAGTCGCCGGTCTTTCGGTTGTACTGATCGGCAACTGTTGCCAATTGTCTCAACTCGACGGCCGACACGTACATCACCTCAAGGATCCAATTCTCGTCCTTCAGTTGAGTCAACACTTTAATCAACGCTTGGATTCCCTGACACTTGAGATGAAACGCTTCGATGGGATCGTTGTCCACAACCAGAGCTCTGCAGCACTTCAAGTGAGCGCTCAATAGGTCGTCGAAAGGGGCGAAGACGTAGCGCGAGATAACCGACTCATTGATGTCGTCGAGGAGTGGCGTCAGAGCGTCCCTCTGAGCGATGGACAGAGCGGTGGCCATACGGTGGCCGTCCTTCTGGTACTGAATCTCATTGAAGTGTTGGAGGAATGAGTTGAGCGGAGACTTGAAGCCGGCCATCACTTCGCGCGACAGATGTAAATGTGACACAAAAGTGGACACAAGATGTGAATCAAAGAGTGGTAATCAACGGATCAATGAAAACAAACAAAAACACGTTTTGAAGCAAAAGTCAAACGAAAAGAAATGCTTAAAAAATGCTGTATTTCTCACACCAGATGTCAAAACAGATCACGTGTTTAGAGATTGTTTGTGTAGTGAAAACAAATAATGTTTGGAAAATATTGAGTCATTTGTGTCCCCATTGGGAGTGCAGTAGTGGTGGGAATGAGTGGTGCGTTAGGAGTGACTATATGTCCCCTAATGTCGTACGGAGTGTTTGGTGAGGAATGCAGTGCTCGACACATGCGTTGTGTGACAAAGAGATGCTGAGAGAGAGAGTGTGAGAGAGTGTGAGAGAGTGTGTGCTTGTATTGAGTGAGTGTTTGGCAAACAGTGTTCACTGTATGACAGACTCACTGAATGACAACAATGTGTGCATTGAATGCATTGATTCACTGATTACTATAGCCGCAGACTATCTGAAGATTGCGTGACAAGTGTTTCCTCGATGGCCACAATCGCCGACTCATTTGAATCATCGCTGAATTAGAGGCCAAAGAATGGATCATTCGGTGAAAGCAATGAATTCTCACCGAAAGGTAGCCTTTTCGCGACTCCTGAACCGACGGCGCTTCGAGAGCCACGAGTTGGAGGGACTATACCAGCGATATATCTTCAAACTGCAGCAGTCGTCCATCATCTCTGTGTTGGCGTTATTCACGTTATTGACCGCAACTCTCGCCTCACTTCAGATCTACTACGAGAGGACGGTGTCGGTGACGGCCCTCTACTGTCTCCTCCAATGTCTGGCATTCATCGGACTCTTTGTGCTGTCGTTTAAGATGCGGGACAACCAACTGCTGGCCCTCTGTTATGTGATATTACTCTTCTGTGTGCTCTTCTGCATCGTCTTCGCCCCCATCCACCTCCACATGACCGCCAAACACACCAACGACACGTACCCGACGCCCACTGCCGTGGAGGACACCGGGCGCCGACAGTCCCACCACTGGTTTGCGTTGGGTCTCTGGGATGTGTCCCATGTAGGCGCCGATGGGGTCTGGCAGGTGGTGTTCGTCACTTTCCTCACCTACACTATGTTACCCATTAAGACACGAATCTCTCTCTTGATGGGCGCCGTCCTCTCGTGCGCCCACATCGCCATCACCGCCACCAACACCACGCATACTGTCCACAACTCGCTGGCCGTACAGCAGGTAAGCGATGACTAGAGATAATGATTGCATGACTACTGCTCTATAGGCTCAACAACTTTTGGATTTAGTTTTGCCACTAAATGAAAGCTAACTTTTGCTTAAATGTATGCACAAAACATTGGATTAAAATGTATTTATAGTACAAATGAGTCTTACGTTTGGATTAAAATGAGTAAAAGTCGACTCAATGTACTGCACGTTATATTAGGANGCCACTAAATGAAAGCTAACTTTTGCTTAAATGTATGCACAAAACATTGGATTAAAATGTATTTATAGTACAAATGAGTCTTACGTTTGGATTAAAATGAGTAAAAGTCGACTCAATGTACTGCACGTTATATTAGGACTTAAGTTTGTCTTTGATTTGACATTTTCTTACACCAGTTATATCTGCAAATAAATTGTCATTTCAAGCATTTCTTATATTTCTTATATTTTGTAATAAATTCTTATTAAACAAAAGACAAGACATGAGATCACAACTGCTTTTATCTCTTTCTTGCGTTAAGTCAACGCTTTTTTGTTGACTCAAAGCCAGAGCTAATCAATGCAAAAAACTTTAATAATATTAATGTATATCAATACACGGAATAATGATTTTTTAATCCCTTAGGGTTTGTATTGTTATTGCGTTAAGTCAACGCTTTTTTGTTGACTCAAAGCCAGAGCTAATCAATGCAAAAAACTTTAATAATATTAATGTATATCAATACACGGAATAATGATTTTTTAATCCCTTAGGGTTTGTATTGTTAAAGCCATTGTAATATAATTTTAATGCTATGTTAAAAGCAAAAGAAATTTTATGAAAAACATTTTTATTGTTATTTTCTCATTGTTTCGGCAAAGATGTTAATTATGTAAATGAAAAATAGTCTCATTTTTTAGTTTTTTGCGCAAACTTTTTGACGAATGAATATTGTTTGAAAAATTTTGAGCATTTATTTTGATTATAAGTTAGAAAAGCAATTCTCGAGTTTTGATAATCGCTTAATTGAATGATTAATTAAAATATTTTCTAATAAAACAAACTTAAGTTGAGTCTTTCGGTGCTATTTATGCGATACGTTTGCGGCATAAAGTGCTGTCATTTGCATATTTACAGTATTTGTATTGAAAAGCGAAAAGTAAAGTAAATTTTTTAAGAGATTGGGTCCAATGATTGAATGTCTAAGTGTTGTTCACTTCAATTACAACGAAGAGCTGTTGAGTCTGTCTATTAAGACACGTATTGAGTGCTCGCGTTTGATATCCTATAAGATTAACGATTTTCACTATAACTATAACGAAAACGTCTCGGATGTAAGACACGGCCAAATAAATGAAGGCATCGGTAGCTAAATGAAGGCATCGGTAGCTTCAATGTTATCAGAGATGCTTTATTACTCAAACTCTATCTTCTAATGAATTATTTATTTGACTAAAAGAAGAAGATATATATAACTAATTAGTTATATCACTGAAGCACTGATTCAATGATCCAAAGACTCTGTCTATTATTATGCATAAAAAATGTTGTTTTACTAAACAAATAGTCATAAAAATTCGTGTTTGTATTTAGCCTTTAATTATCTATGTTTTAACAATCTCTCCGTTCATATAATTGGCTTCTCTTTAATATATTTTCCAATTTGAATAATTATTTTTCTGTCAAAACATTTCAATTGATTTAATAATAGTCTGTAATTAATTCGTCTCAAATGTTCTCATTTTGTTTTCCATTTCATTTCACTCACTATATAAGGCTTACAAACAGTTATTTCCACAATATTTTGTCACAAAAATGCTTTTTATTGATCGCTGAGTATCGGTGGTGCGGATGAAATCATCTGTATTTCTATTATCTCGCGATTTTCATCACTTGTACCCTAATCTCTGGTGAA